TTTAAATTCCCTCCACTCCTCATGGACCTGGTGGGTAGGGTAGACCAGAAAATTCATGTTATGACTTGACAGGCACTCCATGTAGGTAATTATTGAATAAGAGAAATCTGGTTAGAGGTGGATTCCGACAGATCTCCTAAAAAAGGCAGTGATTATGATCCTATGTCAGATACAGGGACAAGATAGCTCTTTCCATCCCACCTCCTGTAAACCACAAATAAGGGATGGGCAGTGGGCTTCCAGCAAGGCTGCTGCAAGAAGGTTAATTGTGTGTGGGGAACAGGGAGCTCAGGTCAGCCCTTCCCCAAGTTATACAGATTACTGTGGGAAGTGTGACCTTCACTAGGAGAATTATTGCTGGATAATCCAAGATGATGTGGTTAATACAATTGCAATCAAGTTATATACACATGCCTGCCTCAGATGTTCCTGTTCTAGCTATAATAGCAGCATATGTAGCGGATGGATGGGCAAATTAAGTCTGTACAGTGCAATATTTTTACTGATGCTATCCCTAGAGAGCAAATATGACTAAATGAGAAAAAGACTTTGTGTGCATCAACAAATCAATAATTTACTATACCTCACTATCTTTTGATTACTTTGATCTTTGATTTCTACTTTTAATTTATAAGACCATACCTCTGACAGAGGTTCAAGAGACTGTCTTTTGAATTGCCAGAGCAATTTTGCTTTCTACTACTATATTGTTCAAAGCCATAATTTTTACGCAGAAACTTGAATCCTCTGATTTTTTTAATCCTTGTTATGAAATAAAAAAATGGGAGTCTCATCCAGCAATGAGTTTTATACACTGAAAAGAATAAACCCCAGGCCATATTCTCTTGGGGTACGTCTACACATCAAAGTTAATTTGAAATAACAGCCGATGTTCTGAAATAACTTTCCCAGCATCTACACAGGCAAACTTCTATTTCAAAATAAATTCAAAATAGCGGCGCGCTTATTTCGAATTTGGTAAACCTCATTCTATGAAGAATAATGCCAAATTCAAAATAGCTAAACTGAAATAATCGCTTATTTCGAAATAGGGGGCCTCCAGCCCTTCCCAGGGTGCCCTGGTGGCCACTCTGGGCCGAACCAGGAAAACACCTCTGCCCCACCCCCCACCCCTGGAGCCTTTAAAGGGGTAGATTCAGTTTGGCCACAGGGCCTGTGCCAGCTCTAAGCCTGCCAGCCCAGAGCCCACAGGCACTGCCCCGACCCAGTTGCCAGCATGAGCCAGCCAGCCCTCCACCACTCCCCAAAAGCAGTGTGACAGCTCCCAGGAGCCTCCCAAGGGCTGCAAAAGGTGGGCACCTTCCTGGTCCAGTGTGGAGATCATGGACCTGATAGAAGTTTGTGGGCAGGCCTCCAATGTCCATGATCTCCACACTAGATGGAGGAATACAGCTGTCTATAGATGGATGGCTGACAGCCTGGCCACATGCGAACCCGGAGCAGGTGCACATGAAAATTAAGGAGATGAGGCAGGTCTATGCCAGGGCCACAGGGGGCAGCTCCCAACCAGGGGCAGACAAAGACCCCTTCCCCTACTTTGAGGACCTGGACCACATCTTGGGGGGCCAGATGGTCCATGCCCCCCAGTGGTCATTGACCCTGGGGCAGAGGGCCCTGACCAGGGCAGGGAGCAGGAGGACGAGGCTGGGCAGGAGTTGCAGGAGCCTGAAGGGAGCATGTCACTCACCCTGGACCCGCATACCCGCAGAAATATCAACACTATCATCTGAGGCCAGGGAGGCCTCGACATGTGAGTGCCATCACAGTCTCCTTCGGTGGTGGTGGGGGGGAAAGGGAGTCCAGGGACCGCACGTGTGGGCCTTGCTGAGCATGGATCACACAGCAATCTGTGCATGTGCCATGGTAGCCGGGGCATGTGGCCCGTTACCCACATGCATGTATGTATGAAGGCACATGACATGCTCCCTATCCCGTGGAGAGACACTGCCCAATGCTTTCCCTGCATAAGCCCCCTCTACACAGAGGCAGGGCACATCCTCCACCCCCACATCCACACTATATACAGCACAGGGGCATGGGTGAAGACCTGGGCCAGCTCACACTCCTCGGGATAGCAGGACATGATGGTGCGGAGACCTGATGTCCTCACCTTGCAGAGGGGAGCTGGGCTTCACCCAATGTGGACCCAGGGATAACTAACCACCTCTCTGGTTTCTCCACAGCTGCATCAGCTGCGAGTGCAGAGCGTACAACCCCACCCAGGACATCCTCCCGCACCCGGGCCAACAGGCTCGCCCAGAACCAGGAGGGATACCAGAGGCAGCACCTGGGGTTACTGCAAAGGCAGGTCCACAGCCAGGAGCACTGGGTGCAGAAAGACCTCCATCTGCAGTGGGAGAGCTTGCGGAAGCTGCTTGACCAGCTCCCTCCCACTTCTTCTACCGCTCCTTCTCCACCTCCATGTCAGCTCCCCAATAATTTACTATACCTCACGCCAAGGCCCCCGCACCCACAGTGCTGGGATACAGGTGGGCCAGCAAGACCCCCAACCCTGAGCTTCTCCTTCTACTTCCTCCCCTTGCCTCGCCCTTCCAGCTCCCTGCTCCCAGGTTTCCCCCTCCCGTCTCCTACCCTCATCATCCCCCCACCCCAGTTATGGTCAATAAAGAGAGGAGGGGGTTTTGGGCAACACGTGTTATTTGACATCAGGAAGGGGAGTTAGAGAGGGGAAAGTGGAAGGATGTGAGGGTGGAATAAGGCACAAGGCCCCAGTTGGGCATGCCAGGGAGACTTCACTCTTCCTTTGTCTGGAGGCTCTCCCTCAGGGCCTCCCGAATACACGTAGCCCCTGCATGGGCCTCCCAGCTGGCAGCCATGCGGGGCTGTGCGTACAGGCCAGCCAAGTGGCCGGCCTCTGCCATTCAGCCTGGCAGGAAAGCCTCACCCTTCCACTTACACAAATTGTGCAGCACACAGCACGCTGCCACCACATGCAGAATATTCCTCTCAGAGAGACTGAGGAAGGTAAATAGGCATCTAAATCAGGCCTTCAGCCAGCCGAAGGCCCCCTTGAACACAATGCGGGCCCTGCTGAGCCTGGCATTGAAGGCCTGCCGGGAGGGGTTCAGGTGTCAGCCGGGAGGGGTTGAGGTGTCCCGTGTAGAAAAGACCTTCATGAACCAGTGTTGTAGTTGGTAGTCCACATCCCCCACCAGGCAGACATGCATTTCCATGTCCCCGATCCTGATATGGTGATCAGGGAAGAAGGTCCCAGTGTGCAGCCTCTCGCACATGAAAGAGTTGTGGTAAACCCGTGCATCGTGTGCTTTGCCGGACCAGCCCACATTAATGTCCATGAAGTAGAAAAGACCTTCATGAACCAGTGTTGTAGTTGGTAGTCCACATCCCCCACCAGGCAGACATGCATTTCCATGTCCCCGATCCTGATATGGTGATCAGGGAAGAAGGTCCCAGTGTGCAGCCTCTCGCACATGAAAGAGTTGTGGTAAACCCGTGCATCGTGTGCTTTGCCGGACCAGCCCACATTAATGTCCATGAACTAGCCCCAGTGGTCAGACACAGCCTGCAGGATGACCGAGAAGTATCTCTTCCAGTTGATGTACAGGGAAGCCTGGTGTTCCAGGGAATGGATGGGGATGTGCGTCCCATCAATTGCCCACCCCCACGCCCCCACAGCTGGGGAAGCCCAAGGTGCCTAACCCCTTGATGACCACATCCACATCAGTGAGGTGGATGACTGCAGAGCAGCACTCTATTGATGGCCTTGACCTCCTGCAGAGGGACACACAAAACCACCAAGAATCACTGGGGTGCCAGTGGCTGGTGGTGCTCCTTCCCCGCCACTGGCCCATGCCCCCTCCCCAGGAGCAACCCCCCCTGCAATCCCAGCCACCACGGGCAGTCTATAGTGTGGCCGAGACAAAACAAACCCTCCCGTGGAGGGTACTGGCACACCCTACCCCTCTTTTCCCTAGGGCAGCCCATCCCATTCTCGCACTCCCCAACCCCACCACAGTGGCCAGAGACTGTCATACCTGCATGAACACTGCTCCGACAATAGATTTCCACATGCCAAACTGGTTCCCCATGGATCGGTACCTATCCGGCATGGAGAGCTTGTGGAGGGGAATGGAGGGCCTTATGTGCATGTCCTGTTGCTGCAGAGCAGGGACAAGCCACTCACAGAGCTTGAGGAAGGTGTCCTTCATCCTGAAGTTCTGGGTCCACTGTCTCCCCAGAGCTCCAGGATGATGTGGTCCCACCAGTCATTGCTGGTGTCCAGACACCAGATGTGGCGGGGCATGATGGCGTCCAGCTGCTGCTCCTCCACAGCCCCCAGTGGGTATGGAAGAGGACGTGGGGGATTGGAATGCCACAGAAGCTGCCAAGCAGTCTCCATTACTTGCTGCCAGGCTTGCAGCAAGACATCTAAAATGAGCACCAGAGTGCCCAGAGGCAGCTCTGTCTCCATGGTGCTGAGTTCCGTGGTATCCTGAGTCAGGGCAACCAAAGGAATCAGAGAAAAAAAATGCTTTGCCTACCTCATTGAGTGACAGCAATCAAGCAGGAAAACCTGAGAACTGGCCACAAAGGGGGTCCCTTTAAGCACAAGCCTCAGATAGCCTCAGAGAGCAGCCACAGAAATCAACTACTGACCTGATACCCTGCTGGAACTGGTTTCAGCTGGCCTTAAGTGTGATTCAGCATCCAATCAGTGTGGATGCATTATTTCAAAATAGCATTTTTCTATTTTGAAATGCATTTTATGTGTAGATGTGTTATTTTGAAATAAGTTATTTCGAATTAACTATTTTGAAATAATGCTGTAGTGTAGGCAGACTCTTAGTTGTCATTATTGTGATAGCTGGACCACTTGCTTTTCTAACTAGATCTTGCCTCATAACATTTTTGTAATCATAAATCTAAGGTCTTATTAACTGAAGTGCTTTATTTATGGATAGTGTTTTAACAATAGCAATATTCAGAGGATCACTCACCAAATTCATAGTACATGAGGGATGTCTCAGTCAACTGGAAGAAAAAAATAGGCAAATCTTGTCAAGTTTAGAGGGAATATGCCATCTTCAAGTAATATTCAGAGTAAGGTACTTTTGATAATTTTAAATGTTCTTCTCTGTGTTTGTAATCTCACATTTTAATTGACTTGTTTTCCACTTTAGGGTTAGTTTTCTTTAGTGATCATTTATTGTTGGCAAAGGGAAGAAGAGGGAGATGAGTGGTGTAAGATAGACTAATCATTTGATACAATGTACTAATACAATAGATCATACTGAACACCTCTCAAAGACACATGCCAAATTAAAGAGTAAAATTTCCTGGGCACACAATTAAAAGCAATTAAGCAATTCTTAAGAGCAATTATATTAAGTGAATGCTAGATGGGATTGACTGACTGTTCTGGGGAATTAAAGAAATCAATTGAAAAAAGGAACATTAAGATTCCAATTCATAAATATACTGGGACATTTCTGCCCTATTCTCTTTACACCACTCCTCTTTCAACATCTCTCAAAACCACCAACATTCATTACCAAATTATTTTAGTGCACTATTAATCATGTTCTTGTCTTAATGTATCATATACATGTATGTATTTCAACTACAAAAGGAATGACTAATAAGCAGTTAACGAACTGAAACACATACACACATATGATACATTAAGACTTGATGCACCTTCAAACAACCAAAAAGGGACTGGGTGAAAAAAAAGTAGCTTGAGTGTATATAATCAAAACTCCCAAGGCACTGGCCTACTCCAAGTTGATGCATGCTGTGAGCCAGTAATCTTAGAAGGAACACATCTATTTTCTTGCTGGATTAGTTTGTGGAGGTGTATTGCTTCTGAGTTAATGATGACTCAAGATTGTTGAGTAGGCTAAATTAAATTAAGTAATAAAAAGTTATCAGAGATTAGTACAGAACAATACAATAAGAACAGTTATATTACCACTCTCTTAAGATAAGTTGCTGGGTCTGTGTATCTTCTTCACTGTAATTGGAGGAAAGCACAGTGTCATTACCCAAGTTCCAGTGGAGTAGGGTTTTCAAACAAAGTCACCGTCATTGCCAAAAGAAATGTAAATTGGTTGTCATTTTTATACATTCTCAATTTGCTTGATTTATGTGTGAAGGCATAATTATTTACAGCTGAGAGGACTAACAATTCTTCAAGATATCATCTTTCAGAAGGTCTTTCTTCTCCCAATCATTCTTCTGTATTTATTGTAACAATCATCCCTCATCAGTTTCCCACATTTATATATACCTATGTAAGCAATGTGTATGTGGGGGAGAGGGAATGGGTCCCTCCAAAAATCTGAAGCTTTATAGACAGACAGCATGGATTATTAGATACAGTATAGCCCATAGAATTTCTTAAATCGGGTGAATTGTATAGGTCAAGGACTATTATTCATGTCATAGAATTCAACACACTCTTTGTTTAATGTCCTGAAGCTTCTAAATAATAATCTATACAAATTAATCAAATATATAAAAGGAAAAGGACTATTGAAGTTAATGGCAGAATTCCTATTGATTTCAATAGTGCTAGGCAGTGCTTTTTGTGTGATGGTACTGCCCGGTATGCAGTACTCGCACCTCCAGATGCAATACTGGCACCTCCAGTCGGAGCTCAACAACTTTTCCCCTGGAGTACCGGCACCTTTTTTTTTTTTTTTAATACAAAAAAAAGCAATGGTGCTAGGATATGAAATGGGCCCTACTGTTTAGTGAAGATTTTTTTCCTACTTCAAAGACCAGTATATATGCCTGTGTATGGCTGGAGCTCATTCAACTATAACATGTCTGACCTCCCTATTTAGCTGAAGGAATTAGGTTTGTTTAGTTTAGAAAAGAGAAGATTGAGGGGGGACATGATAGCAGTTTTCAGATATCTAAAAGGGTGTCATAAGGAGGAGGGAGAAAACTTGTTCATCTTGGCTTTGGGAATAGAACAAGAAGAAATGAGCTTAAACTGCAGCAAGGGAGGTTTAGGTTGGACATTAGGAAAAAGTTCCTAATTGTCAGGGTAGTCAAACACTGGAATAAATTGCCCAGGGAGGTTGTAGAATCTCCATCTCTAGAGATATTTAAGAGTAGGTTAGATAAATGTCTATCAGGGATGGTCTAGACAAAATTGGGTCCTACCATGAGGGCAGGGGACTGGACTCGATGACTCTCGAGGTCCCTTCCAGTCCTAGTATTCTATGATTCGCATTACTCATTATTCAGTGCAATCACTTTTAAATCTTTTGATCTGGCCCAGATGGAAGTTTGTGAATTTATGTAAAGAGGCTTTTGGTTTTTTTTAAAGAGTTTATATTTTACAGACTTTGATAGTTCAGATTTTGTAAGGGGGAGCTGTCTTGTATTACAAGATAAGATAAATTGTCCAGTTGCATTAATCTACTGATTTGTAAATTTCAGGGATTTTGAGAAGCAAAGTATTGTATTGTCCTATTTGATAGCACTTGTGACACTGTGTAATGTATATTTTATACTGACACACTGGATTTTAATTTTTAAATCACATCCCATAGCTTTTGTGTTCTGAGATATTCAGTGTTTTAATTTTCTTGTCATATTTAAAACAACATATCAAACTGAGCTCCACATGTTAGTCCAAATGTAAAACAGGTGCAGTTTTATATTTTGACTAGAAAACATTAGGCTGACTCTCAAACGCTGACTAAAATCATTTCAGAAAGCATAAAATGTGTATTATAAGATCAAAATGACAAAACATTATATTTCATATCTTAAGTCAGAGGAGAAATGTTAACAATTGTTGAAATGATAGAGTGGTCATTTAAATAATGTATTGCTTGTGCCCAAAGATTTAAACACACCCTCCTCCACACTAGACACACATACACCCCACTTCTGATAGAGTATTGGTTTAAAAATGATAAGCTACACAAGTTTTGGGTGAGTGAAATGTGCATAGTATCTGAACGAAGTATATTTGGTAGCAGGAGAAAACTGTAAATTTGGTCAGAAATTAAATGGTTACATTTTCACATCACAAATGAAAGATATACTAACCTTGAAGATCAAACTAAGAAATATTTCAGAACACAATTGCACATTTTGTAATGAAATGAAAGTTGTTTCCATACTGGAAAGTGTTTTTGACAACATTCCATATCTGAGGTTAATGACAACATCTAAGGGGCAAGAGTCATGGAATAAAAGGAAAGTTGGCTCAGAAAATTAGATATCATAAAACAAAATGAGTAGCTCTAAATAGATAATCCTACTTTGGAAGAATAAGTAAGTAATGGTGAACCATGAACAAAGGTAGAGAAAAATGCCATTTAAAGAATCCATCTCCTTTGTCATCCAGGAGTAAAGAAAATGAATAAAGATGAGATGGGATTTAAATACTTGTTTAAAGCCCCGCTATAGATGGCTAGAATCAAAATACCTGCATGCATGTAACTACATCATCTTAGCTCAAAGAAAAAGTTAAATTGTATCTATAGCAAATACAATTTAATTAATTCTTCATCTTCAAGACTGAAAGTTTGAGGAAGGTATTTTTATTAACCTCCATTAGTTCAGTGGACTGTCCCCTTTGATAATAAAAATGGATGGCTACGAAGATTTTATTATCATGAAAAGATGCAAGTACGAGTGCAGCTAAACATATCCAACAGATCTGAAGATCATAAGACTAGTCTGACTTAAATTCCATTTGCTTTATCTCTTTGTTCCACTCTGATCACATACAGCATTCTATTATTAGTTATAGAAGTAACACACAATGGTTGCACCCAACTTCGCTTGCAAGATTTTTTTTTTTTTTACTACAGAATCTTGTGATACTTTGTTACAACTTTGCTTTAAACAATGGATGGAGATAAGAAATATATTTTAGTTAATTTCATGAAGTACCAAACTACATTTACTTATGTGAAAAAATGTATTTAAATTCTTATTTACAGTACAAAATCTTATGAAAAAGACCAAAATAGTTAGCAATGAATAGTGCAGCTTGAGAGAGATGTATCATGACTTTTCCATAGATTGACATTAGATTGTGTTCTAATTCACAGCAAAGACCTAGTCAGAATATTTGACAGCTTCGAAGTCATATACTTTAAAGATTAATCCACATTCTATAAACAATGCATTAATCATGAAAGGGCTATAATCTTACTATATGAATATTTGAAAATGAGGTACAAGTCATAAGCTGTCCTAAAATATGTCAGTTCAACTAATTTTATAGCACAATTAATCAGAAGACAGATAATGTCAAAAAGAAATATGATGGCATAGAAGAAGAGATACACTAAGCCATCACACTTCTGTCCTTTTTCACCATTGAAGTCAATGAAAGGTATAAGAAAAGAATTTTAATACAATGATTTAACTTATTTTCGATGGTACTTTATGCATCATTAAATGACGACTGAGTTAATATACATTATATTTTCAAAATTAGATCTAAAAATCAGAAATAGTCATATTTTGCTCTAAATTAATAACCTCAGAAATCCATGCTCTTTAATTTGTCTTGCAAAACTACAAGTATTCAAGTTTCATATATGTAATTTCCATTAATATATGAAAAGTCAGCTAACATGATTTGTAGTATTTCTGCATGAAAAGGAGGTCTTCATTTTACCTATGACTGCTTTTTGATGATATGGCTATTATAAACACTATATCTTCATTAAAATTGTGGTAGGAGATTTTTTTAAACTGCCTACAAGTCTCTAAGATCTAGAGGATAATAATCTTGTAGGCAGTGCCTGTGAGCCACTGTTCCTTTTGTTTTTACTGATTTTATGCAAAGACGATCCTAAGCAGATCATAAGTGACTACGGGCCCTTGGAGCATGGATGAAAAAGCCTGAAGTGCAGGTGGTATTCCTTTGATCAACAGAGAAAGATGCATCATGAAGGTGAACATCTGGCTGAAAAGGTGATGTTTCCAGGAATGCTCTGGATTCTTTGACCAACTGGAAGAATGACTGCTAAGAACAGATGGAGTCCATCTACTGAGGAAGGGGAAGAGTGAGTTTGGATACAGACTAGCTAATTTAGTGAAGAGGGCTTTAAACTAGGTTTGATAGGGGTAGGTGACTAAAGGCCAAGGTAGATCAAAAACATGAAGACCTGGGAGAAGGGTCAGAAGTTGGGGGGAGAATAGATGGCAATAGAAGGAATAAAGGAGAGACAAGACAGAACTGCAGGAAGTGTAGTGAAATCGGTATCTTAGTTGTCTGTGAGAACTAAATGTGAGAAGTACTGGGAATAAGCAGAAAGATCTTATCATGCTAGTAAAACACAGCCATGACATAGAGACTTGGTAGAATAATATGCATGGCTGGAACATGGTATAGAAGGGTGCAACTTGCTCAGGAAGGACAGGCAGGGAAAATGGCAGATGTTACTTTATATATTAAAAATGTATACACTTGGATGGCAGGGTAGACCATAAGGGTTATGTCATGGTAGAGACATGAAGCCAGGCTTCATGAACTGGGCTTGTTTAGTTTGGAAAAAAGAAGATTAAGGGGGGACATGATAGCGGTTTTCAAATATCTAAAAGGGTGTCACAAGGAGGAAGGAGAAAATTTGTTCCTCTTGGTTTCTGAGGACAGGACAAGGAGTAATGGGCTTAAAGTGCAGCAGGGGAGGTTTAGATTGGACATTAGGAAAAAATTCCTAACTGTCAGGGTGGTCAAATATTGGAATAAATTGCCAAGGGAGGTGGTGGAATCTCCCTCTCTGGAGATATTTAAGAACAGGTTAGATAGACATCTATCAGGGATGGTGTAGACGGAGCTTGATCCTGCCTTGAGGGCGGGGGGCTGGACTCGATGACCTCTCGAGGTACCTTCCAGTCCTATTATTCTATGATTCTATGATTCTATCTACCATGTTACCAGGAAGAAGAGCTGGATGAGGCTTTTTCTGAACAACCAACAAGTTTGTGCAAAATGCAGGTCTCGTTGGTGATGG